GGAGACTGTGGAAGAGAGGTGAAGAATAGAGTACAGGCAGGATGGAACAGCTGGAGAAAAGTGTCAGGAGTGATCTGTGACAGAAGAGTGTCAGCTAAGGTGAAGGGAAAAGTTTTCAGGACAGTGGTGAGACCAGCCATGATGTATGTTTTAGAGACAGTAGCAATAGGCAGAAGACAGGAGGCAGAGCTGGAGGTGGCAGAGTTAAAGATGCTAAGATTCTCTTTAGGAGTGACAAGAATGGACAGGATCAGGAATGAGGTCATTAGAGGGACAACACAGATGGTTTGGAGAAAAGTCTAGAGAAGCCAGATTGAGATGGTTTGGACATGTGCAGAGGAGGGACACTGGATACACTGGTAGAAGAATGTTAGAGCTGGAGCTACCAGGTAGGAGACAAAGAGGAAGGCCAGACAGTTGGAGTCAGAGTAGAAGATACAGAGAACAGGGAGAGATGGAAATCAATGATTTGCTGTGGCAGCCATTGAAAAAAAAGGGACAAAGCCAAAAGAAAAAGAAGAGAAGATTGATAGTGCGCCTTATAATGTGGTGCGACTTATGGTCCGAAAAATATGGTACACATACTGTATATGTATTTATATATACGGTATATAAAGATATATGTGTGTATATATATACATAGGGAAAATAAGTATTTGGCCCCTTGCTGATTTTCAAGGTTTGCCCACTTACAAAAAATGCATCAATCTATAATTTTAATCATATGTATATTCTAACAGCGAGAGACAGAATCCCAAAGAAAATTAACAAGTTAATTAACTAAGTTAATTTTAAGGTAATTAAAAAACAAGTATTTGACCCCTTACCAAACAGCTAGTATTCTGGCTCCTAGTTCGTCTTTTTTTAAAGACACATCTCCAATCCCAACTTATTATCTACATCAAATACACCTGCCTCATCTTGTTACCTGTATAATAGACACCCAAACAACCAGCATCCAATATCTTCACCATGGGCAAGACCATAAATTCATATGATGTGATTTTCTGGAATTTTCTTTGGGATTCTGTCTCTCACTGTTAGAATATACATGTGATTAAAATGATACATCGTTGCATTCTTTGTAAGTGGGCAAACCTGCAAAATCAGCAAGGGGCCAAATACTTATTTCCCCCACTGTATATGTATACATATATGTATATATATAGTCTTTCACATCTGGGACATTGAATGCTTGTAGCCAAAATTGTTTTTTTCAAGGATGCTCTTTAACAAACATGCCATTCAAGATTTACTGGAATAAACCCTGTGATCGTCTGGCCAGTATTTTATTTTTGGAAATTACAACTGACCAGAGAAACATCACCTGCTCATCTGAACTGTAACTTTTATGTTTGTCAGAAGAGGACAGACTCAAGTTTTTAACTTTTTTGTAACAATATTTATAAACTGTGATTGTTGTCTGTGTGCCACAACAATAAAACAGCCACTTAAATCTCCAAAACTTTTTAGTCCTGCTCTTTCCGCTTGATTGAACATGTCTGACCAGAACTCAATGACATCCATTGAAATTAAAGCAGAACACGTTGAAAGATTTTTTCCACCGTGACAAGTGAAAGAAGACGTTGTACCTCTGATGTACATGTGGTAAAGACTTGTTTTTTAAAAAAAACACTCCCATGTGAAATGTCTTGTGAAATGACTGTGGTTTGCAGCTGAAACCTATTATCTTGACTAAAATACAACACTCCCACAGAAAAGCAAAAAAAAGAAACACCAAACAACCAAAAAACGACAAACTCACCGTTGTGAAGATTAAACAATTGGTAAAAGATTGAAAAAATAAAACAAATGAAAAAATAAATAAGGTGTGTGGGTAGATATATACATACATATATATATATATATATATGTATGTATATATCTACCCACACACCTTATTTATTTTTTCATTTGTTTTATTTTTTCAATCTTTTACCAATTGTTTAATCTTCACAACGGTGAGTTTGTCGTTTTTTGGTTGTTTGGTGTTTCTTTTTTTTGCTTTTCTGTGGGAGTGTTGTATTTTAGTCAAGATAATAGGTTTCAGCTGCAAACCACAGTCATTTCACAAGACATTTCACATGGGAGTGTTTTTTTTAAAAAACAAGTCTTTACCACATGTACATCAGAGGTACAACGTCTTCTTTCACTTGTCACGGTGGAAAAAATCTTTCAACGTGTTCTGCTTTAATTTCAATGGATGTCATTGAGTTCTGGTCAGACATGTTCAATCAAGCGGAAAGAGCAGGACTAAAAAGTTTTGGAGATTTAAGTGGCTGTTTTATTGTTGTGGCACACAGACAACAATCACAGTTTATAAATATTGTTACAAAAAAGTTAAAAACTTGAGTCTGTCCTCTTCTGACAAACATAAAAGTTACAGTTCAGATGAGCAGGTGATGTTTCTCTGGTCAGTTGTAATTTCCAAAAATAAAATACTGGCCAGACGATCACAGGGTTTATTCCAGTAAATCTTGAATGGCATGTTTGTTAAAGAGCATCCTTGAAAAAAACAATTTTGGCTACAAGCATTCAATGTCCCAGATGTGAAAGACGTTGTCTGCCCCTGCAGAGAAAATCTGACTATGGTCTGGATTCATGGCCAAGTGAAGGACTCGACGTGAATGACCTACGAATATAGATTTGGATTAAAATATATTGATTTTCAACACCGAAATGGTTTGGTGGTCGTGAAATCCTCTGACCTCTGACCTTTGAACTGTTGAACTGATCTGAGGGAGTCAGACTCCCAGGTCCAGCAGGTGACCTGGTGATGAGGCAGGCCATGACCTGTGACCACATGTCGCTTCTGTTCAGCCCATTGTAGAGAGCAGATCTGAAAGACAGTTGACGTCAGTCTAATGTGCCTGTGTGGGCTGTAGGACAACAAACAGGAAACACACACCTGTGAGTCTGTGGTCACGGCAGTTACACATGTTCCTGCATTTGTGTCCCAGATTCTGAGCTTCCCGTCTTTCCAGCCTCCTCCTGTGGCGATCGTGTTTCCTCGCCACGGACACCAAGCCATCGCCTGGGAAGACGGGAAAATACTGGCTATTGAAGAGTCAAGGCAGGTGAAGGGTTAAAATGTTTAATCTGGCTGAAAATGTAGCTGTTGATTAACCACAATTAATCACGATCATAATGAGTTGCAGTTAATCATGACCATAATTAATTTCAATTAATCGTGATAGGAATTAGTCACTATTAATCATGATCATGATTCATCACAATTAATCATGATCAGAATTAATCAGAATTAATCATGATCAGAATTATTCACAAATAATCATGATCAGAATTAATTGCAATTAATCATTAATATAATTCATCACAATTAATCACTACCATAATGAATCACAATTAATCATGATCAATTTAAATTATTCATAATACATTTTGTTTGAAAACAAAAAGGCTTTGTTTGGAACATAGAGACAAATAATCGTTCAGAAAACAAATGGATCAGAACAATGGAACCTAAAACCAGGTGAACACTCTGAAAGAGATATTGGTACAGTTAGTTATCTAATTAATTGACACACCACACCGCCCCTGACCTCCACTGACCTTAACAGCTGTTGGCTGTTTCATGGTCAACACTGGCTTTTTTGAGCTTGCTTCTCCCGAGATGTCATCGTCCCATATGTGAAGGAGACCACCTGTTGAGCCACTAGCCAGCTGGTCTTCTGCTGGAGACCACTGAAGGCTGCAAACCCTTTCTGTCTGCAGCGCTGCTCCAATCAGAGGCCCGGGAGCCCGAGGGTCGAAGTGATGGATCCATCCGAGAACAGAGGCGCTGTAAGATCGAGAACAATGATTGCTGTTATTGAGGAAACAATCAATTTACTGGGCCAATTTCTGGGCCTGGAGCAACTAAAAGAATTTGGAGTCAAGCGTGCAAGCGTGAAAATGCTGCCCCCGCAGGCAGTAGAAATTGCTCATGAAAGCAACTACCATAACAGAAGTACCACAGTCTCGCAAGTTATTATAAGATTAACACAATAATGTCATGCATTTTCACTGAATGATCTCATATAGTTGTACTTTAAAACAGCGGTCCCTGACGTTTTTGTACCAAGGACCGATCGGCTGGTATCAGCCATTACTGCAGACTGGTAATACTGCAAAAAGTAAAGGGATATAACTGGATTATTTTTGAATGAAGTAATTTAGTAAAAGTAAAGTACATTTTTCCACTGTGTCCCACTGTGGGCTGCTAGCAAATGACCTATGGACTAGCACCGATCCTCGGACCAGGGGTTGGGAACCCCTGCTTTAGAAAGTCAAAAATAAATTACTCTGTCAACAAGTATTGACCAAACAATGAGAGGCAAATATATACACATTTGATACTGACCACATATTCAAACGAGTACCTGCTAAGCAACTGCTGTTTCCAGGAAACTGCTCCCACCTCAGATGAGTGTGAAGACACATGTCGCGTCTTCTGCCTTCTTTCAACATCCCACAACTACACAGAAGACAAACCACAGACTCTAAACCTGCTGATAGGGCTAGTTTTGTTTTCCCTTGAACACACAAGCCCCGCAACCACAGGCTGAGTCATTCTACCCCTCACCCATACACCTTGTTTATCGGAAATTTACCACTATCTCCCCCGACTTGATGCCAATGCACAGGGTTCTGCCATCCCTGCTCCAGCGGAGACACGAGACAGACTGTTGGTGCCGCGGTACAGATTGGGGACTCGGACCCAAATTTCCCATCCCGACCTGAGTTTCTGAATTCCACAGGTGAACAGTAGAACCCAGGGCCAGTGCTACCATGCCGTTGCAACTGCAGTCGAGAACATCAGTGTCTGAAGGTTCAGATATAGGTCAGAGGAGAAAAAAACAAAAAGACATCAAAAAGAAAAAATATCGACAGATACTACTGTGCGGTCGCTTACAAAAGTCATTCCGCAGTGATGGTGCTGCGAGCCTTTTCACTGATGTCTGGTTCAGTACTGTGAAGGGCAAAAGGTCAGATTTTCTCTGCTTGAAGCCTGTGATAAAAAAAAAAAAGTTCTTATGTTTTACATCAGTAACAAAAAATACAGTTTGTTTTCAAGTGTTCTAAAATGAAAGACTATTAGCCCATCATTATTATTTATATGTTAGCACATTTCCTCCTAAAATGTGCCACTATAAACATTTTTGCTTATTTTTGTGACACTCTACAACGTGATTCAATTCAAAATCTTTCTTAGTGTCTAGACATCAAAGCTCCACCTTTTTGTTCTCGACCAGTTCGTTGCTCGTCGTCATCTTCCTGAGCAGCAGCTCTCCATATCCATCCCTGCAAAAAAATGTCAACATGTCTCCATTCTTGAGCCTTTCTTTCCAGGTTAGTGATTCCAAAAAATATCCATAGATATGCAGACAACCGAACATGCTGTGGCGCTGATGGAACTTCCTCATACATACCTGTTGTGTCACATTCTTGTCACTAGGGCAAGAAATGATAACGTCATGTGGAATTTCTTCTGGCATAACGGTCGGTGTTTTCATTCCATTTCGCTCCTTTGATGCTTCTGTTACAAAATGTAAAATGTAAAAAACATAAAAATACTTACTCATATTTCATATATATTTATACTATATCAAGTCTTGTTCAAACATTTTCTTTAGCGCCCCCTTTTGTAGATATAA